ACTTCGTTGGGCTCAGGTCATGGGCTCAGGTCATGATCCCAGGGTGGCATTGGCCTCCCTGCTCAGTGGGGAGTCTGCTTCTCCCTCCCCCTCCGCCCCTCCCCCCAGCTCGTGCTCTCGCTCTCTCAAATAAATAAATAAATCTCTAAAAAAAAAGACTTTTATTTCATTTTATTTTGCTTTGTTTTTTGGATGAGAGGAATAACAGCATATCTGTGTACTGAGAGGAGAGATCCAATAGATATGGGAAAATTGACAATAGAAAAACTAACAATTGCACTGCTTTTGAGTACCAAAGTGACATGCGTTTTAGCATCCAAATGTAGAGACTGATTTTATCATAGATCAAAGCAGGGACAGTTTATCCATAATAAGAGGAAAGGAAAGCGGAGTATATGGCTACAGCACAGGTGGGTGCAGTGCATGTGGTGGTGGGAGTATGTGGGGTTCTCTTCTCAGAGCTTTGACTTTTTTCAGAAACAGGACTCAAAGCCATTATCTGAAAGAGAAGAGGCGGAGGTCTGAAGAAGACAGGAGGTGCGCAAAGTCATCAAGGAGAACAGATGAATGACTGAACTGGGGAAATGAAGTAGAATTTCTGGGCAGAAATAACTCTTTTGAGGTCATGAATGTAAAGCATACTCAGGTCATGAACTCTTAGTGGTCATGAATGTAAAGCACAGCTAGTTATCATGGTTGCATCTTTTTCTCCAGCCACATACAAAAGCATACTGCTGCCACAGAATTGGTAGAGAATTGTATTTAACCAGGGTTAAGGTTTTGTCTGGTAATTACTATTAGAAAGTGGGAAGAAGGCAAGGGAGTTGAACACGTATTCAAGAGGAAGTGATTATAATGACTGATCATGGTACTGACATTTCTTTGTTTTCTCTTGTCTATTCACACAGACCTTGCTCTCTAGCAGGTGTCCATTAACGTGTTATAACCTGAACCACTGGAGCTGTTCATTGCCATGCTAAGCTAATCTCTCCTTACCAGTCACTGTATGCATGTGGTTCATGTGCATTTTTGTTTTTCCCATTCTCCTCCTAATTCCTTGCCTTTAAGAACCAGACATTTCTTACAACATCTCTGTTCTGAAGTCACCACTAAACTGTACTACTCCTAGAATTTATGTCTACTTTAACTGTATTTGCATGGCACATTACATAGACTTATATCAGAACATTTATCAAATTATAACTATGCATTTGCCTTTCCCCTCATTTTCCACTAAAACATGAGTTTGATAAAATCCTCTTATGTGGCACCTAACACGGTGCCTGTATCAGAACACACTCAATATAATGTGACATGGATACATGAATAAATGATATTTGATTGCCCCTCGGCCTTTCTTAAACTCCATTTAATGGCATTAAAATATCTGTAAGTATGGCATACTCTAATATGTTAGTAGTGTTGAGTATATGCTAGATAAGCCAAGCATAGGATAAAAGATTTGTCACACAACAGAGTGAGTAAATCCCCATGTCTTCCCTGAATTCTTCCTTATGAATATTTTATACACTTTGGACCACAAGTTAACTTTTATAGGTTGTCATGATGTACTAGAACCCCAAAATGATTAAATTACCCAATTTACTTCTGTGGAATGAGGAGCATCTTCTGTTTGAACACATTTTAAAACTGACAATTTAACATTTTAAACATCACAAAGTATTTTTAAGAATTTCATGCAAAATAAAAACTAACTAAACTTTGGAATACTAAAAAGTTGGACTATCACTCAAAGCACTATTTGTATAACATTCAGTGTTGTTGCCTATAAAATTTAGGTAACTAACATGAGACACTCGGGAGCAGTGCCTGGTGTATCCTTGTAACACAGGCCCAGATTTCCCTTAAAGAGGGATTACTAGACGTCTTCTCATCAATCTATGGACATAGCAATGTCACATGCCATCTAACTTTGTAGTCTAGTCACAAAACTCAATAAATGGGTTAGGACCCAGGGCATGGCCAGAAACATTAAATTTACTCCATTATCATCAACAATTTCCTCACACAGCAGTTGTGTAGCTAGGCAGTTCTGCCAAAGGAAAGCCTATAATTAATGATTAAAAAAATAATAATAAAACAAACTATGTCTTCTCTCTCTCTCACACACACACATAAATGCACATATATAAATAATTTTTCCCAGAGAAAAATCAGAATTCAATTTCTGATAATAGAATATTGTTTTCAATACATACTATTACATATATTTTTACTACATAAAATGGACTTCTCTCTTCTTTAGTCAGACTAATTGTAAAATAAATCATTAAAAGGTGTGATCATGGAAAGTGTTTCCTTAATAACTATCTGCATAATTCCCAAAGACAAAGCTTATGTATTATAATTATCCTTTTCTTTATTTTATAGGGATAAAGATCTGCATTAAAGCTTATTTAGTATTATTACTGAAGTACTAAAAGTAGCAAAGCCCATGAGATCTAGCTAAAAAAAAAATACAGTTGGGACTGAAATATTGATAAGAATGGAAAATAAAAGTTAAAGCACACTCCTACAGTATTACTGTCTGTGATATGAATTAATATCCAGTGCTTTACATAAACACCTTAAAACAACTTCAAAGCATTTTTCATGTTGTTTTGTCTCCTTAGCTAGAATGTAAGCCCATCAAAGGTAATATAATTTACATATAATATAGAGATCAATAAAGATCAATAAATATTTACTGATGATTACTCTGCTTTTCTCAGAGATATATCCATTGTTCATAAATAATTCTGTTTGTCAGACTTAGTCACTTGTAAGTTTTCCAAGTTTATGTGGGGGAGGCAAAAATGAATATCTATCTATATCCCCCCTTAGCCATAGGGAATGTTCCAAGACGTCCAGTAGATGCCTGAAACCACAGACAGTCCCCAACACTATATAGACCTTGTTTTTCCCTGGATGCACATACCTATGATAAAGTTTAATTTATAAATTAGGCACAATAAGAGATTAAGAACAATAATAATAAAGAAGAACAACTATAACAATACTTTGTAATATAAAATAAGTGGATATAGTCTGTCTCTCACAAAATGTCTTGTACTGTACTCAACTTTCTTCTTTTTGTGAGGATGTGAGATAATGAAATGCCTACGTGATGAGATGAAGTGAAGGGAATGATGTAGGCATGTGATGCAGCCTCAGGCTACTATTGACCTTCAGACTATACACCAGAAGGAGGATCATCTGCTTCTGGACCATGGTTGACTATGGGTAACTGAAACCATGGAAAACAAAACTATGGATAAGCAGGTACCATTGTACCTTCAAGGGTTAATTCTGGAACCTATTTCAAGAAATTGTTACCACTCTCATTTCAAACAATACCCTTACTGATTCTGTTCGCTGGAGGAGGCAGATTTGTTACCTGGCAAGTCCCTTTTACCACCACTAAAAAGCTTTTGTAACTGTAATTTGAAATTGACAATCCTCTTCTCTCCAGTCACCAAAGGGGATGAAATTGTCAACTTTACGCTTTCTCTTTACACTTTACCCACACACTGAAGTAGAATAGTCAACATGCTATAAATCATGTCATTACTGATCTTTAGTTGATATTATAATATATATATTCATATATTTAGTGTTTCATGTTCAGGATTGAAATAATTAGCACAGGAAGGACCAAAAAAATTTAACAAGTTAGTTAAAGTTTTTGCCAAGCAGTAGATATTTAGTTTGTTTGGTTTCATTTGTTTTATAACTGTAATACTGAGCAACATTAACTAATCTGTTTCCCTTAGGACTGAGTTCACAAAAAGGATCTATCACATCTAGACCTAAACTCGACTTAAGGAAATCTTGAACCCTGTACAATGACAGCCAATAATTCCTAAAATTAAGCCTTTAGATAAAAGAAGAAAGCTTCCTTCTCAACAATGAAAAAAAAAATAAAACCTCATCAATGAAAAAGATTAGCATTTTCATTCAGTATCTATAGCATGGTAAGCACTAGGATTAACAATGAGGACCAAAATACTATGGAATTTATATGGGAGAGACAATCATAAAATAATCAAATAAGTCATAATAAGAGCTATAAATAAAAGGTATGAAAAGTATTACATACTACTTTAAAAGCACATTTCAGATGGCCAAGACCTGGTTGTGTGTGTTTGTGTGGGGGAAATAGGGTGTAGGTCAGGGAAGGTATACATCAGGAAGTGATATTTTAGCTGAGAGCTGAGGGAAAAATAGGATTTACTTGGGGAAGACACGAGGGTAACAGTCTTTCACATCAAAGGAACTGTAGGTCTGATGGCCCTGAGGTAGAAAGGAACACAGGGAACTTGAGGAGTGAAACAATCAGTGGTTGGAACACACCGGGCCGGACAGTCAGGACAGGTAAGCAATGTGGCTGGGAAGGTGAGCCAGGCATGTAGGGTCTTGGAGGCCCCATGAAGGATTTTGGTCTTTTTGGTTTTAATCACACAAGTGGCATGGATCGACTGGTGTTTTTAAAAGAACATTCTGGGCAATCAGATAAGAAAAAGAAGTAAAAGACATCTGAATAGGCAGAAAAAAAACCACCCAAATTGTCTTTATTGATAGATGATACTGAGACAGGGAAACTGAAGGGACCCCAAGAGAAAAAAAAAAATTTTTTTCCCCTTTGCTTCTGTTCTTGCTAGGACCTGCACCCCTGCCCTACGCATGCCTTAATGTATGTCCTCCTCATAAGGGACGAAGATTTAATGATTTCTTTGGAGCCTTCCAGCACGACAGATACCATCTAAGGAATGACCAGGTGAGGCCATCATGTGCATATTCCAGACCACTGTCACTGAGCACCTTGACACTAAAACCTTCTGGCTCTAGGGAATAAGTGACTATGACGGACACCTAGACCCTGTCCTTGTTTTGACCAGTTCCTGGATGCCTGAGAAGACACGTGTACCAAACCACAATGTCAATAAAAACCCAGACCCCAAGCACAGGCTCTCTTGTTTCCTTTCTGAGGCTCCCAGACACTCTATCTGATCTGCTCACTCTCTACTCTTCCAATAAACTCTTCTTTGCCTCCTGCTGGCTCGAGTTTGATTTCCATCCCGTGTGCAGCCAAGGACCCTCTTGGCTGGTCCTGTGGGACGCCTTCTGGGTCCTCAGACCCAGCTTGCCTGCATCATCTTGGCGACCAAAGGGACCCACAGAGGAACACTGGTATCCCCAGATTGAGTCTGCGAAGCACAACTTGGCTTTCAGGAACTGGTAAGTTCCTCCTCTGGGAAACAGAGCTGGTTTAATGCTGATGTAATTTTTGTCTCTGTGCTTCTCTGTTTTCTTCCTCCATTCTCCAGGGAGGAAGAGAAACTGGGAAAACTGGTCTGTGAACCTGCTCTTCTTACTCCCCATTCTCGCTGTGCTCTGAAACTCTTTTTACTCTGGCTTCCAGACAACTTCAAGGCTGTTAGTTGTCATGAGAGACTGAGTCACTCAGCTCCGAAGAAAAGGGACACTTGTTCCTTCCCGCTGAAAGGTGTTCTGAGGCAACTAAGGACCAAGGGAAGTATCAGAGATGATTTGAGACAGGTGTGGTCCCATAGAAAAACTTCCCCCCAACCATGGTAATTAATTTTTGGCTTACCCAGGGATGCACACAGAAGGACTGATCATCCAGTGCTGTGAGCCCCCATGGTGGTTTTAGACTGCCACTGGGACAAACAGACAGATAAGTGGGGAAGATAGGCCCCCTGGTTCTCCCCATAAGTAGCACATTCGATCTACCACATGCTTTCCCTAGAATAGAGTCTGCACTTCTCTCTCTCTCTCTCTTTTCCACTGCCAAGTGGCTGTCTCCTCACGGCAATTCTGGGACATTGGAATAATGCTGGGGATTGGTGGCCAATCTTGTCGAGGACCAAAACTCTTAGAATAAAGAGTGGTCCTGGTGCCCCCAGTTGCAATGGGTTTTTGGCGTATAGGGATGAGACACACGGCATCTTGTTAGATGAGGGAGAAATGTGGCAAGTTGGAATCTTTTGCACCCTTTTGCTCACTATGCCAGACCCTATCACTCCTCTACACCTATTTCTACCCCTCTGAATTTTCGCCTTTTTGGCCCTTTAAACTGTTCACCCAGTCATTGAGGAATTATATTGTCTGACCATAGTATTCAGCATTAGCAGGCTTCCCTATCCTTAAGAGATTATCTTTCCTTTTGGTTTCTAGGAAACTCCATGACTTTGATCTGATTCATTTGGCCGGGGCCACTGTAGCCAATGACTCTCTCCTCTGCCTTAGATCTCTTGCATTCTGAACAATATCATCCTAGAATCTTTGCCCCAATCTGACTCCTTGTTTATGGTCCTAAATGGGGGCAAGAGTGAGCATTCCCACGGGTTCCCGTTTGTTTGTTATATAATTAGGCACAATTTATGCTGGAGAAGTTGAAAAAGAAGAAGCTAATATTCTATTGTAATGAGGCCTGGCCCCACTATCACTTGGGGAACCAAGAAACCTGGCCTGCAAATGGGAGTTTGAATTACAATACCATTTTACAGCTTGATTTATATTGTAAGATGGAAGGGAAATGGAATGAAGTGCCTTCTGTGTTACCCTTTAGGGCCCTATATCAGGACCCCAAAGGACAATGTAAAGTTTGCGTGGCCTGAGTTCCTAAATCAGGGAGGCACTTACATCCTGGAACTGATTTGATGTTTGATCTGACTTGGGGGAAACCTACAGATCTTACTGTTTCATTGCTGCACTGTAGAGGAGGGAACGAGACCATGCATAGTTAAGCCAGTTAATTCGATAAAGTAAGGGAAGAAACTCAAAGAAAGGGTGAAAACCCAGCTCTCTTTGGAGGGTCTCTGATGGAGGCTTTCCAGAAGTATACCAGTACAGACCCCAATTCTCCAGAAGGGCCGTCACTGTTGGCTGTGCATTTTATCCTGCAATCTGCAGCAGGTGTCAGGGGAAAATGACAGAAGGCAACTGGTGGGCCCTGAACTCCTATGAACCAATTGTTGGATATGGCTTTTGCTGTTTTTAATAATAGAGACAGGGCAGAGAAGATGGACATGTTTGTCCAAAATAAATGCCATGCCCCACTTTTGGCCACAGCAATGGGGAACTCACCACTCCAGGATCCCCATGTATAGAAACCTACAAGGCTAGACTCTGGCAAAGCCTGGCTCACAAAAGGCTGGGGGTCCCAATCAATGTGCCTTCAGTAAGACGGACAGCCACTGGAAAAAGGATTGTCCCCACCTCAGAAGGAAGGTGGGTCCAGCCCCAAAAGCTTTGCTGGCCAAAGTTACAGAGGCCTGAAGGGGCCCGAGCTCTCCCTATGGCTCCTCCTGGACATCTCAACATAACCAAGAGCCTCAGGCGATCTCTGATGGGGCAAGTAAGGATACTGAATTTGCATTGGACACAGGAGCCACTTACTCTGTCCTGACTCAGCCTCATGGGCTTCTATCCCAGCACTCTTGTACAGTTACTGGAATAGATGGACGGGCACAGGTGAGACAACTGACTTGTCCAGTAGCTTGTGACATGGGCTGTCTCTTGCTTTCACACAGCTTTCTCCTGTTACCTGAATGCCCTACTCCCTTACTGGGAGCAACTTACTTGCTAAGCCATAAACATAGGACTGACAGACCCAAATGTAGAGAAAACAAAGTTTATAATGGTAATGGGCCTAGACATGCAAGTGGCAAATAATATTTATGTGCCAGACAGTATACCGTCCCATATTACAATCAGAATAATGCCCAATGTATGGGAAACAGAGGTTCCTGGGAGAGCCAATAATATTTCCTCCATTGTTATCTCCCTAAGACCACGGGTAGAATATTCTTGGAAAAGACCAGAGACCCAAGAAGGTATTCAGCCTCTAATTAAGAAGTTTTTGAAATATGGATTATTAACCCCTTGTAAGTGACCCCGCAATATCCCCATTCTACCAGTGAACAGCCAAACGGGGAGTACTGCTTTATCCGGGATTTGAGCGCAATGAATGAGGCAGTGATCCCTATTCATCCCACAGTCCCTAACCCTTATGCCATAATGACACAAGTGCCTCCAGATGCAAACTGGTTTATGGTGTTAGACTTAAAGGATGCTTTCTTCTGCATACCGGAACACCCTGACTCCCCATATCCTTTTGCTTTTGAATGGACTGACCCTGATACTTGTGAGATCCCCCAGCTGACCAGGACGGTGCTGTCTCAGGGATTCAGAGACAGCCCATATTTGTTTGGGAATGCTTTAAAAATGGAAGGGGGGGGGGTTTACAACAGATTAATGGAACTTTACTTCAATATGTGGGTGATATATTGATTGCCAGCCCTACAAAAGAAGATTCTGATGAAAATACAACCCTCACCCTTAACTTTTTAGGACAATGGAGATACAGAGTATCTCCGCAGAAAACCCAGACTTCTAAGGAGAAGGTTCAATACCTGGGCTATGTCCTCACTCCAGAGGCACGGACACTGGCCCAGGACAGAATATCATCCACACTGAATATTTTAGTACCACAAACAACAAGGCAGTTAAGACCCTTCTTAAGCACGCTAGGCTTTTGTTGCATTTGGATTCCAGGGTTTAGCCTTATGGCCAAACTCTTTTATAAAGCATTACAAGGAAGTGATTTAGAACCCCTGGAATGGAATGATGATTGCCACCAAGACTTCAAAGGTATGAAAGAAAAACTGAGCACTGCTCCTGTCTTGGGGCTCCCAAACCTGGAAAAAATCCTTCACCTCATATGTCTGAGAAAGGACAGGAATAGCCTTGTGTGTCCGAACTCAAAAACTCAAACCTGTTCCTAGCCCAGTAGCTTCTTTCTCCAAACAATTAGATCTGGTAGCAGAAGGATGGCCAGGATGTTTACCAGCAGTGTTGTGACTACCCACCTAGTTGGAGTAGCTAGCATATTTACTCTAGGAAAACATCTGGATGTCATGATCCCACATCAAGTCCAAGGGGTTTTAGAAGTCAAAGGGCACGAATGCTTAACAGGAGAGAGATTACTGAGCTATCAAGCCCTCCTCCTTGATACCCCTGATGTAACTAACCCTTCAGGTGTGTGGAGGCTTAAACCCAGCTCCTCTATTACCTGATGAAGGCAAGCAGGAGCTTCTAATCCACTCCTGTGTGGACACTGAAAAATAAGTGTATTCAAGGAGGTCCGATTTAAAGGACAAACCTTTGCCCAATCCAGAGGCCAAATGGTTTACAGATGGAAGTAGCTTTATGCATGAGGGAACCAGAAAAATCGGATATGCTATTGTCAGCCTACAGGAGGTAACTGAGGCACAAGCTTTCCCTCCCCATACTTCAGCACAAAGGGCCGAACTAATTGCTTTAGCCTGAGCACTACAACTAGGTAAAGGGTTAAAGTTAAATATATATCCTGATTCTAAATATGGCTTCTTAATATTTCATGCCCATGCAGCCATCTGGAAAGGGGTACTATCAAATTCAAAAAGCTCCCCTATGAAACATAAAGGGAAAATTTTAACATTATTAGAGGCTGTACAGCTTCCTTGGGAGGAGCCAGTTGTACATTGTAAAGGACACCAAAGAGACCAAACAATAAGGAGTAAAGGAAACGATTTTGCGGATAGAATAGCAAAAGGGACAGCAAGGAAGAAAGAGCTTGCTATACAGGTTTTAGCTTCCAGAAGGTCCTCTGCAAGAAAGAAGCCCAAACTATACTCCCTCTGAGGCTCAATGGGCCTTACAAAAGGGATCTGAAATCGATTGGGATGGTATATATTAAATAACAAATATGTACTCCCCAAGGCATTGCAATGGAAAATAACTGAGCCTTCTTCTGCCACTCCTGGGGCTGCTTGTGTGCTCGCTCGGTGTGGACCTGGCACCTCTTTGGTGAAGCGGCAGCTGAGGAGACTCCAGTGCTCGCCATGGCTGAGGAAAAGCCCAAGGAAGAAGTCACGACTGAGAACAACAATCATATTCATTTGAAGGTGGCGGGGCAGGATGGTTCTCTGGTGTACTTTAAGATTAAGAGGCATACACTACTTAGTAAACTGATGAAAGCCTACTGTGAACGACAGGGTCTGTCCATGACGCAGGTCAGGTTCCGATTTGACGGGCACCCGATCAAGGAAACAGACACGCCGGCGCTGCTGGAGATGCAGGATGAAGATATAATTGATGTGTTCCAGCAGCAGACAGGAGGCGTCTACTAGAAAGGGAACTCGCTACTTTACTCCAGGACTCTGTTCCTCCAGATCAAGAAGACATTCTCAGGTAGAAAACCACAATCTGGTCCCACCACACCCTGACTACTGCAGTATAGTTTTCTCTGTTCTTTCATTTTCCCCTCCCCCCTTCCCTTGTCTTTCATTTTCCCCTCCCCCATTCCCTTGGTGGACATAAAGTAACTATATATGTGCACAAGCACAATTGCCCTTTTTTTTTTTTAACTAAATGGCCAATGGTATGTTTTGATTGACATCAAATGGAGATGGGATAGGGGAAAATACTGGTTCTGTGAGAATATCCCCTCTTTCCATTTGTGGCATGCTCAGTCAGCTCTTACCTTTATATTCCAGCAAGTTGTTTTGCTTTCACGGTTTAACAAAAAAAGAACAACATAAAAATCTTTGCATACCTTGTTTGACTGGAGAATTTTAATGTTCTTCATTTATCATTGTACCAAGGACAATTTTATAACTTTTTTGTATGTAGCCGTTACATGTAAGATGATCTGTCTTTAAGTGGGGATAAATTACTCTAAAAGAAATGAATCCTAGATTGTTTTCCTTTCAAGTGTCTTGTTGTTTAAATAAACTTCTTGTTTAAAATGAAAAAAAAAAAGAAAATAATTAAGCAAATACATGACTCCACTCACTTTGGTAGAGACACTATGGAAAATCTATTGCCCCAAGTATTCAGAGGAAAGAATCTAGCCAAAACTCTAAGAGAAGTTACCAGGGCATGTGAGATTTGTGTCAGAAATGACCCAGGGTCCCATCCTATGCCTCCCCTCTTAATTAAGCCAGTTCAATATAGAGGTACTTACCATGGGGAAGACTGGCCAACTGACTTCACTCAAATGCCACCCTCTCTGGGATAGAAGTATCTGCTGGTTTATGTGGATACATTGACAGGGTAGGTAGAGGCCTTCCCTATTAGAACAGACAGGGCTTTAGAGGTTTCTAAGATCTTATTAAAGGAAGTCATACCTAGGTTTGGACTTCTCTGGAGTCTGCAAAGTGATAATGGACCCTCTTTCGCTGCTAAAATAACACAATTATCAGGGACCCTAGGGATCTGCTATCAACTTCATCTCTCATGGAGGCCTCAATCTTCAGGAAAAGTGGACAAAATGAACCACATCTTTAAACGAACTTTGGCAAAACTCTGTCGAGAAACTCATGAAACACGGTATAAGCTGTTGCTGATTGCTTTACTCAGAATAAGAGTAGCTCCAAAGGGGAGTCTTAAATTGAACCCCTTTGAAATGACATATGGAAAATATGACCTTTTCTCACTGCAACTTTATGGTTTGCTGAGGAAACCAATCAAATTTTAAAATATATTCCTAGTCTGGGTAAAGCACTAGTCTCTCCAAAAGTATGGAAATAAAGTACTTCCAAACCCCACTGAAGACAAGCAGTCTGTGCCAATGCCACCAGGGAGCAAGAGACCATTAAAAACACGGAAAAGGGGGTCACCAGAAGATCAGCTTGAACCAAGGTGGGAAAGGGCCCTATCAGCTTTTACTCAGCACCCCCACAGCAGTAAGACTTAAAGGTCTCTTGAGCTGGGTTCACTTGTCCAGAATCAAACCTATCTCTCCTGAGTCTCTGCAGGAGCCAACTTTGATACCACCTCCAAGGGAAGAAGGGGACACATATGCCTGCGAGCCTGTCAACGAATTAAACCTATCTTTTCAAGAAAATACCTGCTACAGTGTCTACCTGGAGCTCCCAGCATCCACCCATGCCTGCGAACCTGAGGAAAAGACTAAAGTTGCTGCTCTGAAGGACCAATAAGTAAGGCTCGATGGCGCTTTTAAAATCTTTCACTTTTCTAAATTTGCTCTTTACTTACCTATCTCTAGGACAAGCTACTGGCCCCAATTTATTTTTGCAATGGGCTCAACACTACGCTGACAGTTTACAGAAAAGTTCCTGCTGGATTTGTGGCCTCCTCCCTTTATCCAGCACCTCAGGCCTCCCGTGGTGGGTTTCTCCTTTACAAGGCACAGACTGGCATTACTTACACCAATATGTAAAAGATATGGTTTTCCAGCCAAATACAAGCATATATAGGGACATCTCTATCACTAACGGCAATGTTTCTTGTTGGCCTATGGTAAATATTACCTGGAATTCTCCAGGCCATAAAAGACCTTTTTCCTACCCCCAGACTGCCAAAATCATGACTGAATATGCCAACTCTAAGACTGAAAATAAGAAAGCATTGTGGGGAACAACTAAGCCTAATAATATGAGATATACCGAGGATGGTTATTTTCAAGTATGGGATGAATTTATGTGGCTTACTCCTACCATAGGCCAATTAAACCAGAAAGCTCTTTTATGTTGGGAGCAAAGAAATCATACCTATGATGCCTGGCCTAATAGCACCCGTGAATTAGGATGGCTCTCCCGAGGAGCTTGTACCCATATCATTGTTTTACAATCAACTGACTGGTTTGCTACTGATTGGATAAGACGACCAGGCATCAGATGGTTAGCACCCAATGGAACTCAGTGGCTATGTGGCACAAATTTGTGGCCTTGGCTACCCCCTGGATGGATAGGGCGTTGTACCCTGGGTTTTCCCTGGATACAAGGGAGATTGCGTAAAAAATTATCTATGCCTGCAAATTATCCCCATCTACTCCATCGCTGGACACGGTCAGTCTTCCACTGGTATGATCACCTGTTAGGTATTTTCCTGCCCCAACTGGGAATAGAAGACATAATCTGGCACATAGAGGCCCTCACAAACTATACCAAACACGCCCTTAATGATACTATGCATGCACTCAGCCTGTTAAATTCTGAAGTTGCATTAATGAGAAAGGCTGTATTACAAAATAGGATGGCCTTAGACATAATAACAGCAGCTCAAGGAGGAACCTGTGCTATCATTAAGACTGAATGTTGTGTATATATCCCAGATAACTCAGCTAATGTATCTAAACTTTTATCAGACATGCACAACCAAATTGAAGCAATGTCTGACTCCTCTAGTTCCCTCAATGATTGGATTTATTCCTGGTTTAGTGGAAATGGATGGTCTTGGTGGAAAAAACTTCTTTTACTAGTAGTAGCAATAGTTCTGCTAGGGCTTTTTCTTTGCTGTGGGAGCTATTGTTGTTGCATGTTCTGCATAAATATGTCCGAAAAATTATCAGAACGGATATTCTCTAGGAGGCGTTCTATTTTAACGATGAGGCCTCATGAACATCTTTGACAATCTACAAGTAGGGGCCCTTCATTTAATTGGGATTTTTATGCATTCCAATAGGCAGGGTCTACAATCCCTTTCAGCCTGAAGAAGCTACAGAAGATGAGACCTTCGCCCTTCAACACCCCTTAAGAATATGAGAATGAAAATCCCATAGCAGGGAATGAGACAGGGAAATCGAAGGGGACCCCATGAGAAAAAAAAAAAAAAAGGTTTGGCTGTTTTTTTTCCCCCTTTGTTTCTTTTTCTGGCTTCTATTCTTGCTAGGACCTGCACCCCTGCCCTACACATACCTTAATGTATGTCCTCCTCATAAGGGATGAGGAGTTAATGATTTCTTTGGAGTCTTCTAGCACAACAGATACCATCTAAGGAATGACCAGGTGAGGCCATTATGTGCACATTATAGACCACTGTCACTAAACACCTTGATGCCAAGACCCCCGGGCTCCAGGGAATAAGTGACTTATGATGGACACCTGGACCCTGTCTTCATTTTGATCGGTTCCTGGATGCCTGAGAAGACACATGCACCAGACCACAATCATCAATAAAAACCTCAGACCCCAAGCAAAGACTCCCTCTTTTCCTTTCTGAGTCACCCAGATACTCCATCTGTATCTGCTCTCTATACCTTCAATAAACTCTGCTTTCACCTCCTGCTGGCTCATGTTTGACTTCCATCCTGTGTGAAGCCAATGACCCTCTAGGCTGGTCCAGTGGGACCCCCTCTGAGTCCTCAGACCCGACCCACCTGCATCAATATGAACTTATATACATAAAAATCCTAAAGACCCCACCAAAAAGCTGCTAGAACTAACTAATCAACCAATTCAGTAAAGTTGCAGGATGTAAAACCAACATCAGAAAACAGTTGCATTTCTTTTTTTTTTAAAGATTTATTTGAGAGACAGAGAGAGAGCATGAGAGAGTGGCAGAGGGAGGGGGAAAAGCAGACTCCCCGCTGAGCAGGGAGCCCAACACAGGGCTCAATCCCAGGACCCTGAGATCATGACCTGAGCTGAAGGCAGACACTTAACCGACTGAGCCACCCAGGCGCCCAACAGTTGCATTTCTATACATTAATAACAAAACAGCTTAAAAAAAAACACCCAATAATTCCATCTTACAATAACATCCAAAAGAATAAGATACTAAGGAATAAATTTACCCAGGAGGTGAACGATCTACACTGATAAGTATAAGACTTTGATGAAAGAAATTGAAGAAGACACAAATGGAAAAAAATCTCCGTGTTCATGGATCAGAAGAAATAACATTGTTGAAATGTCGATATTACCAAAAGCCATCTACAGATTCAATGCAATCCCTATCAAAATTCCAATGGCATTTTTCACAGAAACAGAAAAACCGATCCTAAAACTTGTATAAACACATGAAGGACCCTGAATAGCTACAGCAGTCTTGAGAAAGAACAACAAAGTGGAGGCATTACACTTCCTGATTTCAAAGTACACTTCAAAGCTACGGTAATCAAAACCTTATGGTACTGGCATAAAAACAGACACAAGAGATCAATGGAACAGAATCAAGAGCACAGAAATAAACCCCTGCATATACAGTCAACTCATATTTGACAAGGGAGCCAGGAATACTCAATGCAGAAAGGATAGTACGTCAATAAATGGTGCAGGGAAAACAGGATATTCACATACAGAAGAATGGAATTAGACCCCTATTTCACATCGCTCACAAAAGTAAACTTAAAATGGATTAAAGACTTAAATTCAAGACCTGATCCATAAAACTCCTAGAAGAAAACATCAAGAAAATTTCCTTGACATTGGTCTTGGCAGTGATTTCTTGGATATGATGCCAAAAGCACAAGGAACAAAAGCAAAAATAAATGAGACTCCATCAAACATGAGTCTGCTTATTTGTTTGCTGACTTGGTTGAAATATTTTACAGAGGTTCCTTTCTTTCACAGTGTGAAGCCTCTGATGTGTGTCAGAGGATGCAGCCTTGCGGGTACAGTCACTCCTCAATGACACAAGTTTTAGCAGGGCTCTCTGTAATCATCTCTCTCTCTGACCTCTCTGCTAAGCTTTCTGCACCCCCCCCCCGCCCCCTTTTCACAACCAGACGTTCGGCTCCACTAACTGCCAGGTGATTGCTCTACTGTTTTCAACAACATTCTCAGGTATAAATTGTACCACAGTCGGATACAATCAAATTTTGAATCCTTCACAGAGGTCATTTTTGAGGCCAGTCTTTGAAATTTGTTACTACCGAGGCAAGGCTCTTCCCAGCTGTCTCCTTCTCTGGTCTCTCTGGTAAACTAGGTGGCTTGTAGTTTTAGCTCGTTACTCTCATGAAGCTAATGGTCTCCTCTTAATTGCCTATCATTAAAATCTCCATTGTTTTAGAGAAGCCCATTAAACTTGAACTTCCCACATTCCATTTAAAGTCAGTTCTTTGTGGACAGCTTCACTGGTCGCTTTTCTTATGTCCCTGGACAAAATCTCTGAGTCACTGCTCTGGAGCTAGGAGTAGGACTATGGCCCACTTCTGATTTCTGAGGACATTGGTTGGGGACAGTAAACTTTTGGTGTTCTCAGCTTGCCTCCCCCAGTGAGGAACTGCCACCCTATGAACAAACTGGGGTGAGGGAAGTGGGGCCCCAGTATTCTCAGCCTATTGAAAGCAGGTAGAGCATTTGGGGCAGAGGCCTACCCTATGAGTGGAGGGCAGGTGGAAGAAGGGAGCTTCTGACTTGGCAGCAATATTCTGGAATTTAGCATCTGCAACAAAGAGCTAAAGGATATGAGAAATACTGGCTACCTACACCTTCTACAGAGCTAGTGTAGCCCTTGACTGGAAGTTAAAGGGAAAGGGAACCCCATCTTCTTGGTCACACTCAGATGAACTGAAGCTTCTGTCTTGTTGATATCGGGGTGAGGGGAAGGAGAGAGTGTGTCTTGGCTCAAGTGCCACAGACTGTTCTTACTGGGGATTTAGTAGCTTCTCTTGAATAATTTTTTTTTTTTTTTCTGATTTGATGTATGACCTTAGGACCATTTTCAGATACTTAAAATATTTTTGTTTTTAAAATAATTTTTCACCAGTTTTTTGCTGGGGATGGTTCCATGCTACCATTCCAAAAGTGCTAATATCCACTCAATTTTCTTAAGTTTAGAGGTCATCAGTAAAATAACATTAATATATAAATGAAATGTTAACTTTACCCATATATTCAGAATTTTACTGATTACTAACAATTAGACACTGGGGTATATATACTGGTGACATAAGTAAATAAACTTTCAGATTTTTGTATTTTCTAAATTTTAATTAATAACTGACTTTACATTAAAAATGGAATTTTAAATCCTTACTATTTTTTAAAATAAAAAATTAATCACATATGTGAAATCATTAAAATCCTCTTAAATTTGTTTCTAGGGTTATTTCAAATTTAATTTTATCAATAAAGTCTTTGGATTTCAGTGCTTTGAATGAATAATTAAACTTTGAGAGATTCTTTTTTAACTCTTTTTCTTAAACAGATGCATACTACTACCACTATTACCAACAGAAATCTGTTAATCCAAACAACTGGAACTGATTTCTATTTACTCAAGCTGAAATTACTACATGGAAAGTAGATATTTTCACCAGGACATTTATATTGACACTCAAAATAAAATTATTAATATATATGTGTGATCTTTTAAAAAAGAATATCATCTAGGCAATTCTATATAAATTACACATTTTCTATTTATGATAAGATGTTTTAATTTTAGTAGATACAAAAAAGACTTAGGTAAGGACCCAAACATCTACAACATCAGCATATGAGATGATCAAAGAATAATCAAGACACCTCAAACTGATTTCAAAACATTTAATTATTTATTCAATACTTTTAATAGAAAAGTGTCATGTAAAATGCTTTTTCTAAACATCTTGGGATGGCTTAAGTATGTATTTAACACCCAATTTAAGAATCCGTGCCTATACTTCTCCTAGTCATAGCAAATATGACCAAAAGAAACAGTCCAAACACTCATTTGAGAACTCTTATTCTCCCACCCAATTCCACGTAAGAACAAAAGTTAACCTTATTCTAAACTTAGAATATTTGATAAAAAACAAACATGGTTTAGATTTCAGGAGGATTCAGTTAAAGACAGAGATATCTCCTAAAGTATGATGAATTAGAGCACTTAAAACAAGAACATTATATGTTTTGATTTTTCAACTTACCTGATATAAATAATCTTCAAATACAAAATAATAATCATCATTGCTTGCTGTCAACTTCACATCCTATAATTAAAGGTAGAGAGTACTGAAAAGAACCTAAAGGAATATGTCTATAGTACTACAACATAAATGCATTATTTAGAAATAACACTGTAATGATTTTACTTATGTATGATTAGAAATGTCTCAATTAGATTTCATCACTGCTATAAATTTACTTGACTAATAATATATATACATTACTGGACCTCAAATTGCCCACAACTTTTTAGGTTCTGTTAGTAATTCCTTATTATTTATTTTAATTTTTATCTTCTTTTAATCTAATATTTAAGTGTTTTAAAGTTGGAAAAGCAGATGCAATCATAAGATCCAGAAGAAACCATAGCAAGCTGGCCCCAAATTACTGTTCCAAAATCATCCTCTACTGTTCAAGTTCACATTCTTGCCATTCCCTTGAAATACCAAACATCTTCCACACCATTGTGATTATTCATTTGCAAGTCATTGCATATTACCCCACAAACAACTGTTTATCTTCAAGAAGTCTACAATCTCACCACAGAAATATGGGAACAATTATAAAGAAATATTAAAGAAATCCAAGATAATATTGCTCAATCTACAAATTTCAACCAGGCCGTTGAGTATAGTAGCAATCAAGGGAGGATGAAATGAATTATGGATGATTCTGGAGGTAGTGAATATGTGCTAAGTCTAGAAAAACTTAAAGACACAAATTAAGAGAAAAGAAAGGGGTCAGTCTTCCAAGTCAGAAGACAATATGGGTAGAAGCAGAGATCGTGCATTCTCAATAGAGATGATATTACCTCTAAGGGGGTGAGAATTAGTTCTCCAAGGCCAAAAAATTTCACATATTACAATGGTTTATAGGCCCCCAAATCTTACTCTTTGGTATTTAATTTTTTTATGTTAGAGAAAAATTAATTTTTCTCTTCAGGGAGCTAATAATGAAGAAAAGGTTGAGAAACACTGGTATAAACTGTCAGGTCATAGTAAGTGGTGCAAAACTGTAGAAAGTGTGGATACAAGGCAACTTTGTGGGAAAAAAATACAGTCTAGAGAAAACAAAAATTATTGAATAATTTGGCTTAAGGAGGGTTTGGTGATGTTCTAAATTTAGTATTGCCTTGTTCCATCCATTCCTTCAACCACTAACATAATTTTACTTTATTTTCAGTTAAATTAAAAATTAGTCTTTGCCATAGGGAGCTGTAATGAAACTTCAAATAATTTTTTTAAATGCCCATTCTCTCCAAAGCTGACTTCAATAACATATGGAGTTGCTCCAAAAAGATCAGCGAAGCTCAACACACACAAATCAGGAACAACCAGAGACAGATATCTTCCTAAAAATATTCAAGCTGTGGACTGTCAGGATTGATTCTACTAAAACTTACATTTAATT